GCCTGCCCCGCTCCGCGCTGGTGCCGGCTCCGTCAGGGCTCTTCCCGCGGCTGCCCGGGTGCGCTGAGGCGGCTTCCGGTTGGGCCTGCTCGGGTCACCCGCGCCTCCTCCTGGCCCTGCGTGGCCGGTGTGTCGCTCTCGGCGCTTGCTTCGCCTGGCTGGGCTCGGCCTCTGGGGACTGGAGTAAGTGCGAGGATGGCTGAGAGGGGAGGCTTTGGCCGGACCCGAGCCGGCGGCGTTGTTCCTTTCCAGCCCTAAAGGAAAAGAGGGGCATGTAGGGGAGCCCACCCCGCTCCTGTCGCCTTCTTCCATCCCTGCCGCCTGGCTTTGGGTGAGCCCTGCCCTGCCCGGCCTGAGCTAGGGGTCGGCATCTGGGACACTCTGTTCACCTCGCATTCCCCGTCAGGGCTCAAGGAGGGCTTTCCAAAGGGCTATTCTGAGTGGGAACATGGGGCTCTCCATTGGGACTATCGTAAGCCTGCTTTACCTTGTGTCTGTGTGTATCGCATCGCTATTCTAAGGACTCCTGGGAGCACTGAGAAACTAGAGACTGAAAATTGTGGGTTAGTTCAGTTGGCCTCTTTTCCTGCCATAACTGTTGATAACAGCGCAGCCGCCCCTTTCACCCGATAGCAAAGCTGTGTTCCGTTAACAGTATTTACTTTCTGCCAAGTGTACCTTCTTGAGGGGGTCTTGCTGCTCGAGGGATGAGGTCCTGGCTTTTCCGTCAGGGAGCATGATCCACTCGATGCTTTTGTCGGAGAAGGGGAAAAGTAGGGGAAAAGCTTCTACAGTAAGCAAGACAATTCTGCTAGCAGTACTAAATTTATAGTGCTCTTATCTGCTAGATCGGGAAATGAATGCAGTAGTAATGAAATGGAGCCTGGTCTGGTGGATGCAGCTTGCAAAACAGGAATTTGGTGACAGCGCCTCATCTTCAGCGTGCTTTGCTTTTACACTGGCTGTGTGTTGTCATTCTTGACTGTGTATTCTTGTCTCGTAGACATAGCGGGAATAGGAAGAGATGGCTTCAGTAATCTTGTGATAAAATGCTATATTGTGCAGGGTGACTTGCTGCATATTGTAATAAAAATATTGCACTAACTGTCCTGTAACTATGCTGATGTTTGTTTTATGAACACGACCTTAAATAATTGCTAGGAGGTGAAAATGCCCTATTGTGCTTTATTTGATCATTTATTTTAGCCAGAAATAAACCAGTAGAAATTACTTGATATTGAAGCTGGTGTTCAACTTGCTTTATTCATTAGGACTAACACCTTCTTGCCTTGCTTTACTAAGTATGAAATCAGGCATGGTGTAGTTTTATCAGATACGTACTCCACAAAGTAGCAGGTGAGCGTAAGCACTCATTCTGCTGATGTAAGGGATGTGGAACTGTTGGGCAGAAAGTGGTCATGTGAAGAGACAGTTAAAATCAGTATGAACCTTATTTCTTGAAGGGATTTTTACTATTGCTATCTAGCTCCAGGGGAAGTAAATGCAATCTATGTAATACAAAAACATTTTAAAAGTAGATATGATCTCCCACCTGCTCTTTTGTGTTTCGTTACTATTTACAGGTCTTCATAGATATATATCTCCCCATTCTAATATGTAATATTAGTGCATAGTTTTGAAGACTGAAATTCAAGAGGTTATGACTAATTTTTATAATATCTGGCTAAACTTGGTTTATTAAAGTGAATTTCTAAATTGCTTGGAAACCTTTGAAATTCAGTTAGGGCTCGTTCTCAATGTGCCTAATCACAACCTTAAGGACAGCAGCATAGAATGATACTGTAATACCCTGATCTGGAAGAAGTTAACCATGTTACTGAAAGCTAGAAACAGAGTCCTTAGTTTAGCATTCCCTAGATTTTTGAAATGGTGTTTATCAGCTGTGACTTCTCATTTCGCTGAATGACTGATCTTCTCAGTAGTCTAAGCTGTTATTATCAAAAATACTTGTAAATTGTGTATGAAAGGTAATACTAGGAATGCAGAAGTTCTGCTGAAATAACATGAATGATGCCTTCAGGTAACACCAACCAGTTAGGTGTGGAGCTGAATCCTTTTTTTATGCAAGAGCTTTGTATAATCTTACAGAAAACACCCATGATTTGAGGAAACAAAGAGCTGGTTGGTTTGCAAGTATTTTTCTTCAAAGCCAAACAGAACAATACCGTGTAACTGAGAAGTAAACCCAAAATGTCTGGTCTTACTCAAATTGGACAGTGAAATGAAGTGCAACAGTCAGTGTTACGCGTGGTGAGTGACACGGTGGCTTTACCGGAATTTGCAGGTCTGTTCGCCCTTGCCTCCTGTTTGGTACGCGTTCTCGTTTGCAGGGTCGTGCTGCCGCCTTGTGGGTGTTATTTGAGGGTTTGCAGCAAATGTGCGTGTTCTGTAGTGCTGTAGAAAGCTCTGTGCTTCTGGTTAAGGAGCTTGACGATTAGCTGTATAGATGCTCAGATGCAATTTTTCATCTTCAGGGTTGGTAAACAAGGATTTGCATCTTGCTTTAAGTAATTTTTCGGAACAATATATGAATTCCTGGGGGTTTAACTATTGACTTTAGAAACTCGAAAAAAATTACTTTTGTGTGCCACATTTAAAATGGAAAATTTAGCAAAACTTTGTTTAAAAAATAGTCTTCTGACATGTTTTAATGAAATACGGAACAAGCATCTTAGGAAAACTTATTACCTAGATTTAAAGCTTTCTTTCATTGTTGTCCCCCAAACATGGAAATATTAAGCATTAAGCTAATCGGCGAGACTAAAGCAACCTAATTTAGTTTTCCTTCTGCATCAGGGAACTGGTTAGTTCATATTTATGGGAGATTCCTGAAGGTGCACAAGTCCATGGGACCTGATGAGATGCATCTGTGGGTCCTGAGGCAACTGGTGGATGAAGTTGCTGAGCCACTGTCCATCATATTTGAAAAGTCATGATGTTCTGGTGAAGTTCCCACTGACTGGAAAAGGGGAAACATAACCTCTATTTTTAAATAGGTAAAAAAAGGAACACCCAGGGAACTACAGGCCAGTCAGTCTCACCTCTGTGCCCAGCAAGATCATGTAGTGGATCTTTTTGGAGACTGTGCTAGGGCACATGGAAAAGAACAAGGTGATTGGTGACAGCCAATGTGGCTTCACTAAGGGTAAATCGTGCCTGACAAATTTTGGTGGCCTTCTACGACAGGTTACAGCGTTGGTGGATAAGGGAAGAGCACCTGATGTCATCTGCCTGGACTTGTGCAAAGCATTCGGCACTGTCCTGCACAACATCCTTATCTCTAAATTGGAGAGACATGGATTTGATGGATGGACCACTTGATGGATAAGGAATTGGCTGGATGGTCACACTCAAAGGGTTGTGGTCAATGGCTCAATGTCCGAGTGGAGACCAGTGACAAGTGATGTTACTCACAGGTCGATATTGAAACCAGCATTGCTTAATATCTTTGGCAGTGACCTGGACAGCGGGATCGAGTGCACTCTCAGCAAGTTTGCTGATGACAACAAGGTGTGTGGTGCGGTTGACACGCTGGAGGGAAGGGAGGCCGTCCAGAGGGACCTGGACAGGCTGGAGAGGTGGGCCCGTGTGAACCTCATGGAGTTCAACAAGGCCAAGTGCAAGGTCCTGCACACGGGTTGAGGCAATCCCAAGCACAAATACAGGCTGGGTGATGAGTGGATCGAGAGCAGCCCTGTGGAGAAGGACTTGGGGGGCGTTGGAAAGTGAAAACCAGTATGAGCCAGCAGTGTGCGCTTGCAGCCCAGAAAGCCAAGTGCATCCTGGGCTGCATCAAGAGCAGCTTGGCCCACAGGTCAATGGAGGGGATTCTGCCCATTTACATTGCTCTGGTCAGACCCCACCTGCAGTGCTGTGTCCAGCTCTGGGGCCCCCAGCATAAGAAAGACACGGACCTGCTCAAGCAGGTCCAACCAAGGGCCACGAAGATAATCAGGG